TTTTTTCCTAGGAGCTTGGGAAGTTGAAAGAATTTCAGGCTGTGATAAAACTAAAGGAAGGCGCTCGACCAAAATTCATTAAGGCGCGCACACTACCATACGCTATGAGGCCTAAAGTTGAAGAGGAACTAAACCGCCTACAGACTCAAGGTATTATTACTCCTGTACACTTTTCTGACTGGGGAACTCCAATTGTGCCAGTAACCAAACCGGACGGCTCTGTACGGATTTGTGGTGACTACAAGATAACCATAAATCAAGCATCCATGCTGGTCAGGTACCCCTTGCCACGTATTGATGACTTGTATGCAACACTAGCTGGTGGTGAAAAGTTTACCAAACTCGATCTGAGTCATGCATACTCGCAGATAAAGCTCGATGAACCTTCGAGGAAACTTACTATCATCACCACGCACATAGGACTATTTCAATATACGCGTTTACCTTTTGGCATTAATTCCGCCCCCGGAATATTTCAGAGAATTATTGACGACCTAGTGAAGGACATTCCTTTTGCGTGTGCTTATCTGGGTGATATTCTTATGTCTGGACGCTCGGATACAGAGCATCTTCGAACACTCGCGGTCGTGCTCGAGCGTTTGGAGCGAAGTGGATTCAGATTGAAAAGGTCTAAATGTGAGTTCCTTTCACCTTCCGTCTGTTACCTTGGATACCGGCTTGATAAACACGGTTTACATGTTTTAAATGACAAGGTTAAACCTATTTTAGAAAGCCCAGAGCCAAAGAGTTGTGATGAACTCCGTTCGTTCTTAGGAATGCTATCTCACTATCACCATTTCCTGCCTAATGCATCGACGGTTCTATCGCCATTAAATGAGCTGTTACACAAAAATGCATCGTGGTATTGGGGTTCCCGTCAAAAAAATGCCTTCAATAAAGCAAAACAAGCTCTTGCTTCGCCACCAACGTTAGTCCATTATGACTCTAACAAGCCACTCATACTTCAGTGCGACGCGTCCCCTTGGGGGGTCGGGGCTGTCCTGTGCCACCGCATGGACGATGGTTCTTTACGTCCCATAGCATATGCATCGCGCACCTTACAGACGGCGGAGAAGAACTACTCACAACTGGATAGGGAAGCGCTAGCCGTTATCTTCGGAGTTAAGAGGTTTCACCAGTATTTTTGGGGAAACGTTTTCGAGCTTCATACAGACCACAAACCATTGATATCCTTGTTTGGGGAAATCAAAGGTATACAACAAATGGCATCACCGAGGATGCAAAGATGGGCTATAACCTTGAGTGCTTACAGTTACAAGATTGTTTATATTACCGGCGTCAGCAACTGCACAGCTTATGCACTCAGCCGTCTGCCGATCACAGCAACTGCACATGAACACGACCTTCCGTTTGAACTGGTTAATCTAATGCAACATCTAGACACAACACCGATACGGAGTTCAACAATCCGTCAATGGACGGATCGAGACCCCGTGCTATCAATGGTGAAACGCTTTTTGAACATGGGTTGGCCTCCTGAAGGGACAGTTGAATTACAACCGTTTATGATTCGGAAGAATGAACTGAGTCTATTCGACGGCTGTGTTTTTTGGGGCTCTCGTCTAGTCCCTCCCACCAAGGCGCGTTTACAGATACTTAAAGAGCTCCATGATGCTCATCCAGGTGTGGCGAGGATGAAGGCACTAGCGAGAAGGTTCTGCTGGTGGCCCAACATCGACTCAGACATAGAGAACTTACTGAAGAATTGCGATATTTGTCAGGCGTATCAGCGGAGCAAGGCGCCAGGTCCAATACACCCTTGGCGTTGGCCCGACAAGCCCTGGCAGCGTATCCAAGCCGACTACTTCGGACCGATCGACGGGACCATGTTTCTTCTACTTATTGATGCACATTCTAAGTGGATTGACGTACATCCAGTTACTCAGGCGACAGCCGAATCCACCATCACTAAAATGCGCTCGTCCTTCGCTACGTTTGGCATTCCGGAAACCATTTGTACAGACAATGGTTCGCCTTTTACCAGTGCCGAATTTGGTAAATTTGTCGCCAACAACGGAATCCAACACGTTAAATCAGCCCCGTATCACCCAGCATCAAACGGATTAGCGGAGCGTGCAGTACAAACTGTGAAACAAGGCTTACTAAAGCAGCGAACGGGAACATTGTGAACAAAACTGGATCGGTTCCTATTCTCCTACCGTTCTACACCCACTGAGGCTACCGGGAAATCCCCGGCGGAATTGATATTCGGCAGAAATCTGAGAACGAGGCTTCATTTGTTGTTCCCGAACCCGCGTGTTAAAGTACAGGAGCGTCAAAAAAAGTTTGTGTCTTCAGAGGAATCAAAGCCGGAAGTTACATTTCAGGACCATCAACCTGTTTACACCAGGTTACCGCATGAACAATGTTAGCAGCCGGCGACTGTGCTCGATTCTTCAGGAAGTCAAAACGATCTGCAGCTTCCGGACGGCCGGGTTGTTCGCCGGCACTCAGATCATGTACGCCCCAAGATCACTGACACACCTGCCGCGAGTCAGTCACACTCGGAGATCGCAGAGCAAGCTGCAGAGCACGACGAACACAGAACAACAGGGGAAACTCAATTACGCCGATCGACCCGGATTCGCAAACCGATCGAACGTTTTCAGCCATGACTGTAACGTCAGCCAAAACAGGGAGGACTGTTACGTGTTCAACCAATGATCGCTCACTATGACCGTGAACCTGACTGGCCCTACACACACACGTAGATAAGCAAGCACACACGCACTCAAGGACACACCCTAACGTTCCGTGCTCACATGTAAACCGCCAAGTGTTCAGTACACTGTGCGCCAGACTGGCGCGTCTTCTTGCTTATTCGCTACGAGTTGAAATACGTACTTGCGGTTAGAGTCCAGTTGTGATAATCACCGCCGAGGAGAAGCTCAGGCTCAGGCCACAATATTCGAGGTAAGTTGAAATCCTTCATGAGCAGGAACTATAGACGACCCATGTGGTAGCGGACATGCGACAACCAGTCGAAGCAGTGGCTCAGTGGACTGTGATAGACCACGAGCAGATCCCAGCGTCTGAGATGAATCGAACCACATAACTGCTCACACAGACTGTCAATGTTGCGGTAGATACTCACGAATATCCCACACAAGGAAACGCTTATGTAGAGCAGCATACCACCGCGGACACTTGATGGTCTATCGCAGCGGAAGCACGAGTAACTGGCGATTTCTACTTCTTTGGTGGTTACCACAGAATCTGGCCATGTTCCAGCAAGTCTGGCCGCTGAGAGGTCACGAAGTAGTACAGCTCGTAACGTTTGTTCAGCAGACTGCAAATGTCAGGGAACCCAGAACGCAAGGTGCGGTGGAAAACGCTGGGCGCGTTTGAATCAGCAGCAGCATGTTGATCTGGATTCGCGGAGGAATCCGCGTAACCGAGAAAAGTTACTATGCGGTGATCCATCGTCTGTGCGCCGCTTTAATTTAATCACATGCATTATTTTCTCTGATTGCTGAATCCAAGTTAGCGCGCATGGGGATATTTACATCATTCAGTCTACCAAGGCGGGATGATATAATCTCATGGATAGCTTCTTTAACAAAGCTCACTAATGCGTCATTTTACCTCGGCCGACAGCGCAGTGTATGCATTCGTACGTGTGTGTGCGCATCGATAAGTGGGTGTGATTCGTTCCTTATCTTCACTGCGCTCATTGGCCCATGATACCCAATCAAGACACCGACTTCGAACTCAGTGCATATCGCTGTCTGCTTACCCGCCAAACGATTGAACACATGCGTGATTAATTGTTCTCACGATATACTTCCATTGCTCCGTACTAGTTTCTGGTTTCACTCGGGTGTAACTGTCACCTTCATAGGTCGACAAATGCTGTCGGTGGGCGATTTTTCCACTTTCGGCCCACCCTCACCTATGTCGAGGAGCATATCAATCAGACTGCAAAAGGTCGACATCGTGTTCGTGGGGCACCTGAGGCCTGGAGTCAGAGGATTCAGGCGCGTGAAATACCATGAGGCTGCGGCGCCTCTGGTCGCTGGACATCATTCTCAGCTACCTCGCCCTTACCGTCTTCCACAGGTCATCACCACTTGGCTTATCGCACACCGGAGATTTAGTATTCGTCGGAGCAGTCGCAGGCGGCAACGTCGAGCTTCACGGCGTGTCAGGCCTTTGTTCTTGGAATCAAGTATGTGGTATACTAGGTGGCTGTTCATTTGCCTGTAGTGCAGAACAAACAAAGCTGCCCGTTTCATAGAATCTGACTGTAGTGACCCGCATACTAGACAGTTCGGCTCCCTTTGGCGCAGGTTTAGACTGGTATGGGTTAAAAATGGTTACTCAAACGTCGTGCTGGATCTCCCGAATAATGTTAAATTTGTCCACAGATAGACCAACGCAGGATACATGAAACTGTACGCTGCACAAATGGCGTGCAATCGCGTTTGTGCGATGACCAACGATTTTAGAACAACTAATACAATGAGTCTGCTTTGACATTTCAAAATGAGGTAACAGCTACGGCTGAATAAGGGAAATCGCCGGAACTAAAGTCAACTAGCACACCCATTTGCGATAAAATAATTCAGAATAACTAAAGCTACTAACTTACACAAAAAGCCAGAAATAAAACGAATTTAACAGTGTAAAGAACGAGATATACTGGCATGACGACGACGCGAAGAAAATGCTACCCGGACAGTGAAATGAAACGCTGTACGCAAGAAATATCAGGCTAGCAAAATGAATAGCTACATGCTTATTTTCGATATTCACGAAGCACACCTAAATCGGCGTGGGGGCAGGCGTTGAATCCACCTGTATCAACCGAACAAGCTAAGCTGAATAGCCCCAAAGACGATTAGTTGCGATAGTATATTACAATAAAGCTTAGCTAAGCAGTAAGCCAGGTAGCAGAGTGGAACGGGAAATCACATCTGCTAATCAGGACATACGATACATATAAATAGGCCGTCGAAAGTTTCACACTGCATACATACCGTGCTTTGAGGAACTGCAAGTGATGCTTTAAAGAAACGGCTCGAATTCGCATATGCGCGAGATACTTCCCATAGGCTGCGTAATTACGCTGATCAGAACGGACATCCTCAAGCAATCCGACAGAAATGGGCAGCTTGGGACGAGTTGCAGTTGGTGTTGGCACGGAACTAGGCAGCTGATTTCCTTGGCAGACAGTAGAGGCATCGCCTGAGGCTTCCAGGAGGATCTTCAAAAGGCAAATTGCTTCCCCTATAATCGCAGACAGTGCGGGTTCCTTATAAAACAGGAAATTTGCGAAGCCAGGTTAAACGTGAGAGAAATAAGTTAAAGATGGTAAAACAAACGTCACTATCACCTTTATTAGTGAGAATGAATATAATAGAGGTACATGGGACACGCGCATTGTGCTTAGGTTAAATACAAACTAGATGGTGACGCACTTGAACCGACTCAGCCTCTGCAAGGCATGCTTGCAGAAAGAGGATGAGAAGATAATCTTCCGGGCAGGCTGCATGGTGTGTGGTTCCCAACGAGTTAGATACTACTTCATCACAGAGCAACTGGATTGCCACAGGTCCAGTGAGTGGATGGCTAAAAATCTGACAAAGCCCTCGTTTCACACACTGTCGAATATCTTCAACGAATTTCGCTGTGAATTGGGGGTTCCTGACAACGGGGTTGGTATGCTGACATGCTGACGAAGAGGCAGAAGGTATTCGCGCTTCTTCGGTTTGCCGGCGATATCGGGCCATCATTTCATCGACAGATTCGTCGTCTGGTTTAAGACAAACTGCGTAGTAGGGTGGAAGACGAGGATACCAAATGAATTCCCTTTTGATTGGAAGCGGAAAGAGGCAGGTACTAGAAAAAGGCTAATGACGTATCGGTTAAAAAGGGAAAAGACAACAATGAAAGCAATGGTACCCCAGCTGCAAGGTGAAGCATAGTTTAGCAACTGTGATACATGCACTGAAACTATATGGACTCCACTGCCCTAGTTTTCATCGCTATAAAACCAAAAGTAACGAAGAGCTCGGAGAACAAGTAGGAGTGAAGAAAAAGCCGACTTAAGAAAACTGGATTAGGGTATCTACAACTGTCGAATAACCGAGCTGGGAGTCAGAAGAAAGAAATCGAATTCAATTGTTTCGCTGTTCTCACGGCTGTATCATGTCCTATAGACATTCGAACCATTGACGTGGTGGATTCCGAGGCCCCCACTTAAGAAGCCGGCAGGTAAAAGATCAGTTTATCGAAGTGGCTGGAGCGAAGTACTTAATCTAGAAAGTATAGACGGTCAGATGTAAATCAGTGGATTTGATCAGAATCAGTGGGTTTGCTACCAAACAGGAATTGACGAACTTCAGTTTAACTGGTCAGGTACTCATACTAGGACAGAGCAGTACTGTGTAAACAAGGACGGTCAAAAACAGCGAACCTACAAATGGTTTCAGAGTACAGCGGAAATGTCCACGAATAATACATTAGCACTGAACGCACTAAGGTGTTTAGTGTTCCCTCATAGTTGACAAGCTAGTGCGCAGTTCATTTGCGTAGTTAGACGAACACAGGGAGACTACACCATCATCATCATCATTAAACACTATAGCTGTAGGTGGAAAACATAACTATAGTGTCGCAATACAAAAGAAAAGAAAAAGTGAAACAGAGGCACGGCAGCTGAGTCACCAGTAACGGATGGACATCGTTCCGGAGACCTGACAGCCGGCTATCGTGCCGCAGTGTAATACAAAGCTTATTAATTGAGATGGTGATTGGAGAGGAGGCTAAGCGGAGGCGGATGGCCAAAGAAACTCACAAACGCCACTGAGGTCGGCTCCTAGCCATATCAGCAACTGTGTCCAACCAAACGTGTTCATCGTCTTTCGGACCCCAACCTGGGAGCCGAGACACTCCAGTTGAGGCCAATTTCTAAGTAAGAGCCTTCATTCTTCTTGAGCAAGTCATCGCTTGGCTATGTCTTCGTTTCTTCCATCCACACCCCCGGCGCGCAAACAACGTACGTCGCGGAAGTCGGTGGGTTGGCATGCGCAACATATCCGAACTTGGTGTGTGAAATAATGGTGCTGAGCGGTTCGCCTCTTCTTCCTACCCCATAAATAAGGTGTCGAACATGCTCATTTCTCACATGGTATACCCACCAGATATCAGTCAAACTGCGAAGGAACCGGTGGTCGAACGTAGCTAGCCTCTTTATGTCTGCTGATCTAAGGGACCAGGTGTCGCAATCATACAGTTAGGTCGAACGTACCGCTGCATCGTACACTCTGCCCTTCAGGGAGAGAGCGATGTCGCGCCGTCGCCATATGTGACGAAGACGAACAAAAGCACTTCAAGCTTTTTCTATACGGTTCGTGAACTCATCTTCAATCCCACGGGCGCTGATACAAATTCCCAGGTAGTTGAGCTTTTGTACGACTTCTAGCTGATCCCCACCAAGAGCCAACGAAGGAGGCGATCCAGGCCAATCTTGGAGGAAAGCTTTGCACTTCAATGGTGCAAAGCAAAGCCTGAAACGGCTGTCCAGTGCGGCTTGGCACCTTTGGAGCTGTCACAGATGGGGACAATATCGTCCGCACACTCCAAGTCAAGAAGTCGTTCTCCTGGGAGTAGCTCCATACCTTCTAAGTCAGGGCCTGTAAATGCAACCTCAATGATTTCGGCAGTAGCGAAGTTGAAGAGGAAATGTGACAGCGGGTATCCTTGTCTCACACCGCTGGACATATTGAAGGGCGGCGACAGCTTGCCGTAAACACTCACTCTGCCTGAGCTGCGCGTGTATAATGCTCGGATAATATTTCATATTTTTCGGGCACACATTTCCTGAGTAGACAGTTCCAAACCGAATCGAAGGCACCTTTGATATCGAGGAACACGACAACGGTGGGCAGCCAATATTTGTGACGGTGAACCAACAACTGACACAAGGTGAAGATATGGTCAATGCAGCCACGACCTCGACGAAACCCGGCTTGCTCTTCACGAATATGGCTTTCATAAGTACCAGTCAGTCTGTGAAGGATGATAGACGCAAGCAATGTGGAGTAAATGGAGATCAGGCTGATTCCTCTATGGTTGCCGCATTCCGATCGTGAGCCTCCCTTGGAAATTGGGACTATGACGGAGCGGCTCCAGTCGGTTTGGACAGTTTCCTGCTCCCACAGTTTCACTAGTAACTCGTGTAAATCATCCACAAGAGCAAGTCCTCCGAATTTGAAGAGGGCTGGAGGAGGATCATCTGGTCACGCGGCTTTATTTAACTTCAACAGTCCAATCTCACGTTCGACTTCTGAGCGAGAGGGCGGATCCAAACGGACAGCTTACGGAGCGGGGCGGTCAGTGGCCGACGAGAAATCTAACTATTTCGACAGATTAAGTTGCCTTTCAAAGTGCTCAGCCCAACGCTGCAAGCGTTCTGAAAAGTTGTGCATGGGGTATCCACTCTCGTCATGTATATTTTCGCTAACACCAGTTGTCCTGCTGCCTGTTTCCCGTATCAAACGGAACAACTTCCGATGGTTACCACGGGCAGTGGTCATTTCCATCTCTGACGCATGATGATATCATCACGTTTCACAGTCTCTCTTCAGGCTAGCACAGAACTTTGCCCTGATGTCTTTGCCAATCTCGTTGTGTTCGCTCCCAGCCGGATTGTACCGGCGAGCATCGATAAGTTCCAGACACAGCGAAAAATACCCAATCTCTATTTCGGATAGTGGATTAACCACATGATGATTTACCTGCTGCCAATAAGGTCTGATGAACATGCGACGTGTGACCTTCAACTGTATTCACTGAGCGTTTGTTCAACCCGAACGCTTGGCTTACTTCGATACACATTCAGAAAAGTTAGCCTCGCAAGTTGGCTGGTGTCTATGCGCTCATAGGGTCCTCGAGGGCGACCGCCAAAACGCAGCCGCAGAGCAGCACATACAAGTGCACGGCCAGTGTCCACAACACGTGCTTTAAATCGAGCGATAGTTTTGGACACAGTCTCTGCAGCGATAACTGATCGCGATGTGATCAATTTGCGTCCATGGCTGGTGGGCGCCAAGTCACCCTCCGGCGGGTGCTGTGTCGGAAATTAGTGCTCGCAAGAAATAAGCGAGCATCTTCACACAAATGGAGCAACCGATCACCGTTATCAATACTGGGGCCAACACTGTTGGCCGCCCAGACGTTGATCATCAGTGGACCATTTCTCAACTTAAGCGTTCAGCTGCCCAGCAAGCACTACAGTGTCCGTGCAACTTCTGTGGCGAAGGAGCTCGGTCAGTTGAGGACAGAAGTCGTCTTTCACGGAATCATCGCTACAGTTTGTGTGGGCGTAGGCCGCGGTGATAAAGAGAAATCTATTAGGCTCGCGCGACTTCGAAGCTTTGAACGGGCCAGCCACTCGGACCGCACACATCCGGCTACTGACTAAGATCTAATCACTCATAGCAGCTTCAGCCTGGGGACTCAGCGCAATACTAACTCCGGCTTGGCCGGTATTCGAAGCTGCATCGTCTCTGAATAGGCGCTATGAGAAGGCACTGCTTATGTCACCTGAAGGGGATATCAGAGTGAGAACAGAGCTCGGGTATTGTAGGTGGGTTTATGATAGGTAGAAGATATCGATCGATATGGTCTCTAATGTTCGAGCAAGTGCTGCCTGTTGACCGATCTGTAACAATATGCGTACGTTGGCATGCCAACCTGTGGGAGAATTGGGGACTCCAAATAGAAGCCGATGAACTGGGTTTGACCGCTTGGTTAGACATGGGCTTGTCGATAGGGCAAAAGTGACGCTCTGTGTTTGCATGGGAATTGGAACTAGAAGATAAACGTCTCTCGAAGAATGGTGAGGGAAGGCCAAGGATTGCGGTTTAAAACGGGGGGATAAAAGTGAAGTTGGAATGGGACGAAATAGGTGAAAAAGCGTAAGACGAGAAGGCTTGAGCAGTAGCATCCAAAACCCTATCCACCGTGCTCGATGCAGCAAATACGGCACCGTTGATTATCCTCTGCGGTGGCAAGTGCATTAGGAAATTTTTTGGTGGAAGATTCATAGTGTTGCGTGGGCAGCATACTGTCAGTTTACTTATGAGTAGAAGGATTTTGGCAAGTACTTTTGTTCGTCGCAGTCAGCGGACAATTCAGATAAGTCAACTACCTATCCGGAAAAGCACCAGCCGGCCGTTTCGCCCTATTGGGTCGTAATCGGGAAGTCCTGACGCCAGAAGACCAACCGCTGTCATCTGCATGGCAGGTGCTTGCATGGCAGTGGAGGATGTGCCGGGCTATTTCGCAGTTAGCTAACAAATCGTGATGGTCGGCTGTCGTCCTCCATGGCTCAGTTGCCTAAGCAGCGGGCTAGTTGGCACGAGCCATTAGCAGTCATAGGTTCGATGCTCCGTAGAGGACCGAAGGATGCGCACCACTGACGAGCCCCAATAGAGCGAAACGGTCGTCTGGTGCTTTCCGGATAGATAGTTGACTTATCTGAATTGTCCGCTGACTGCGACGAACAAAAATACTTGCCAAAATCCTTCTACTAATAAGTAATACAAATTCGCCCTTACGGATTCCATAAATGCTATGTCGATACATAGCTGCCGTAATCGAGAAGTCCTGACGCCGCAAGATCAACCGCTGTCATCTACATGGTAGGTGCATGCATGGCAGTGGAGGATGGGTCGGGCTATATCGCAGTTAGCTAACAAATCATGATGGTCGGCTGCCGTCCTCCATGGCTCAGTTGCCTAAGCAGCGGGCTAGTTGGCACGA